ATAAATTTATTACAAACATTTTAATAGTTATTAATATTTTTATTGTGATATTTTATTAACATATTCATATTATATTAAACTCGCATTAGTTTATATACAAATATGATTTACTCAAATGATTTTCTATCTCTAAATATAAAAATGGAACTCGGTATTATATGTCAGGTATGCTAAGGCGCTAAAACGGCTGAAAAGATTTGGCCAATTTTAGAATTGAAATATTCGTGCTGATCCAGAGGTTGTGGAAAAGGTGGTATATTATTTCAAAACCGCGTAGAAATTTTACATTTTTAATTTAAAATTTTTTGTAGAAGCGTAATTTAAACAAAACAATGGACGGCAGCTCATACGTCAAATAACAAATGGTTTTGACAGATGATGTTCAATTAAATTTTATAGGATGTTTTAGATGAATATTTCTTATTTGTAGTAAGTAGTTTTGTTTGTTTTATTTACACACAAAAAAATAATTGTGGCTACAATTGTGGAACATCCATTCAATTTGTGTTAGTTGCCTCTTTCAACACACTCTTCCGCATTCATAATCAGTTAGATATTTTTTATACTAAATATTTTCCTAGAAATATTTTTTATGGCTAAACAATATTTGCTGGTCCAGCTAGTAAATAATAAATAAATTAAATAATAAAAAATAATAAGTATTCAATAGTAGGAGTAAATCGTAATAGAAACCAACACATTTTAAAATTTATTTAGTCACAATTAAAATAACGCCTAATTAAATTTCAATATATAAACAAACAAAATATATTCAAACCCCGATAAAAAAGATTATAATAAGGTACAGTTGCATTATTCTCTTTGAATATATTTCTGACAAATATCATATATCTTTCAAACCATTTGCTCGTTATGGTTTCGATTTCGTTGGTCATTTTTAGATCAAGAAAAGATTTGTGACTGATATTTGTTATCTTTCCATTGTTCCAGTACTTAAAGAACTATAACGAAATATTTATGAGAGTTTCTACGGCCTATTGTTGTTGAAACGCATTAAAGTGCATTCGGCCTTGAACGTTGAAGACGAATGGTCTGGCATTACAATATTATACAATCATAGAGTAAAAAAAATCGAGTTAACAAATTGGAGCAACGAATGTGGCACTATTGGATCGTAATTAGATAGACATTTGCACAGTTTTTACTACCAAGAAATAAAGATGATATAGGGTTGCCATAACAACGCTATGTTAGTGGCTGTGTTACAGAATTGGCTCTTTAATGTTGTCATTATGTAAAAGCCAGTCGGCTGTGTAATTCTTAGCAAAGACTCGATTTATATTTAACTTAATTACCTTTCTCGGAGAATTTGACTCCAGTGCAAATAATTTGCCATCTATCAAAATATTCAATTATTATTATTTTCCAGGAAAACAGCGTCAACCCCAACCCAAGTACCACTGGTACGATCATACCCTTGCACATAGACGTAACCAGGGAAGACGTCTTAAGGGAATCATCAGATTGCGTTGCAGGACATTTGCCTGCTGGTGAACGAGGAATCAGGGGAGTCATCAACACGGCTGGTGTCGTTCACAAGGGTAGAGTGGAACATCAGGACACTGTTCTTTGGGAAAATATGCTCAGGACAAATGTATTAGGTAAAAGTCATTTGGGTAAAATATTATATTTCTTTTATCTGGAACATTCTAGAAGTTAAAAACTTTTTCTTGGAGTCATATGTTAGGTCATTCTGTCGACATCAATCAAATAACGCAGTTCCAAGGTGAAGCTCTCTTAGACAAGTAAGAGGAGTTAGAAGGTTTAGAAGTCCAAACATTTTTTTGAATCGTAGTTATTTCAAGTTTGAAATATAAAAAAAAACAATATCATCAATACAATATTAGTATATCTTGAATAGATATTGACCTGGACTTGGTTGCCTTTTATCCTTCATTTAATGGATTTTTTATGGATGAAGTTCATAAATAACGTAAGGCAATTAAATACGAAGTCAACTTTATCTCAATACAGGTCATTCTGTTGACATTCAATAAAATAGGTCATTCTTTCAAAATCAAACAAATAACACAGGGCCAAGGAAAAGCTTTCTTAGACAAATAAGAGGAGTTAGAAGGACTTCCAAACATTTTTTCGAATCGTAGTTATTCCAAGTTTGATACATAAAAAATTAATATCATCAATACAATATTAGTATATCTTGAATAGATATTGACCTAGAACTTTTTGACTTTTATTCTTCATTTCATGAATGAAGTTATTCTTCATTTGTTGATGGATGAAGTTCATAATTAAGGTAATTACATACGAAGTCAGCCTTATCTTAATGCAGGAGTTATGGAGTTTTCTTAGCTGTCTTCTTTGGATATGTATTGTATTAATTGTAAAAGTCAGACTTACAAATTAATTGCATCTACTCCTAACAAAAGGATCTCTGTAATACTTTATGACTTTTCCCAGGTTGCGTTCGAGCAGCCCGAGTATTCACCCAACTCCTGCGTCCAACCAGAGGTCGTTTCCTGACCATAGGAGGAACTCCAACAATCTCTCACCCTCAACCCTTACCCAGCGACCTACAACAAGGTGAAGGCCTCGTGGTCTACAGTGCCTGTCTACGAGCCATCGAAGGTCTCACCAACTCTCTTCGATCAGAACTAGGACCTTGTGGAGTAGATGTCATCCAACTTAGACCAGACTACATAAAAGCTGAAAAATTATATGGATTACCTCAGAGGAATAATGTGGTGGAGAACAGAGCTGGTGAGCAACCAGTGGCTCAGTACACTGCCAGCGTTTTGGGACCGAATGGGTTGAGGAATATTGAGAGGGCTTTATGCGATTTGAGACCTCAGGAGTTTTATTCTTTGGCGGAGAACAAGAAGAATAATCTGCTTATGTGGGGAGGTCTTAAGAGTCCTTGGGGTCGTAAGGCAAAAAAGAATGAACAGGGTACTGAAGCGCCAACGATTAGTGTTTAAGGTTAAAAACTAAGGTTAAGTTTTTTGCATAGTGTGAAAAATTTCATTTGAAAAATAGTTTAACCACTATTTATTTTTGCATCATTTTGGAAATTTTGCATGGCTATGTGAAGTTTGTAAAAAAGTTTTTGGATGTGTAATACAGAAGTCGTTGACTTAGGTGATTTATTACCTTGTTGTTTCAACAAATATATTTTCAAAACAACATTTTTATTATTGGACATTTTTAATGATTTTTTTTGAAGCAAACAAAAATCAATGTTGTTTCTTGTTTGTGATTGTAATAATTTATGCCATTTGAATAGTTACAAAATATATTTAAATTATTTTTTAAATATTTGAGGTAGAATATAATTGCGATAAGCTTTATTTAATCTTAAGTATTGCTTTAAAATAAAAACGAAATGTTTTAATTTGAACAAATTCCAAATTAGTCAATGGTGTTTTCTTGATGTCCTATTTGAACATATATTATTATTGAAAATTAGACCTAATTTTTAAATATATAAATAATAACTTAAATTTTAAATATTTTATTATTTCAATTATTTAAATTATGACGACTTCTGAACTATTTTCTATTTTAGTGTATTGAGCTCAATTTTTGGTAGTTCAGTACACTATTTGCTTCCTATATGTGTGAATGTGTTTGAATGATTTTTAATTATATATTTAGTTTGTTTAATCAATGTATATAATATTATTTAATAGAATTGTGCCTTTGATAATTCTAATAAATAAATAGAGAGTTCTCATTATTATCAGCTTGTGCAGAAAATTTATTTAGATATTTAATTATAAGACAAGTTTCTCTCCAATTTTCCTCCTGATTATTTCTAAATGATAAATATTTAGAATGAGCAGTTCAGATGGTATAAATAACCAAAAGTATTTTATAAATGATGATAGTTTTAAGTATTTTCGAGAGCATAAAGAAACAGTTTTAGTAAATTTAAGACGTCCTTATAGAACACAGAGAGTTATATTGTAACTAATGACAATGATGTAAATTTTTGGCAATTCTGAATCGAAATTTTTCTCCAAAATTATCAAATATAAAAGCTTAATATTGACAAGAGATATATTTTTCATGAAAGTATAATTTGATTCATATAGAATATGCATTCGAATATTTTTTATACATAAATCCCTATCATCAGTTGAAGATGCAAAAACAGTTATTTGAATTCTTTTAACATAAATATTATTTAAAATATTCTTTTTTTATTTTGGAGAATGTTCGTTCCATTCTGGGTTTTTAATATTATTTTTATCCAGTTTATCAAATATTTGCTTGTAAATGTGTGTGAATAAGTTTCTGAGAGTTAAGTCTGATAGGAATCAAATAACCGTAAAAATGTGCTTGGTAATGGACTAATGATCTTCTAAATTTATATATATTTATATATATATATATATATATATATATATTTTATTTGTAAGTTGTACATAATATTTTATATTACCAGTATGTCATATTATGTAGGTGTAGGCAGCCTATGTATAAAATACTTTTGCTATATTTGTTATATGTTACTAATAAATATAAATACTCAAATATAATATTTTATTTATATAAGCAAAGTAATCACATTTATACTTTTTGATGTGTCAAAAATAATTGATGAATTAGAATTTTAGAATTTTAGAATTTTTGGATAAGAGTATTTCTTCCATAAAAGAGTATTCCTTCCATAGTCTAATATAAATAATGAAAGCTTACAATATTTAATATACCACATTCTAATAATTTTATTTTAGTTGTTTCTAGATATGTGTAATTTTTATTTATATTTTCTAGTATTTTGCTTCATTTTGCACTTTCAAAATTTATTCTGGATTATTTTGTTAATTTTTCTCATACATTATGATTATGATTATTTACTTTACACTTTTTCAATTGAATAGTTTAACGTAATTATATCATACAACGAAAGCTGTACAACAAAAATAAATTGACAAAACGTTTATTCTTTATATCCAGTATGACATATCTTTAATTATAATAAAATGTTAGCTAAACAAATATACTTTCAATGATTAAAATATGTTCTTAATTGGAATTTCCAACAATTGCGGTCCAGTTTCATTTTCCAATGGACTGTGGTGTCCTGGTCCGTCGTGTCCTGAACCATGGTGTCCCGATCCATGATGTCCCCCCCCATGGTGTCCTGATCCATGGTGTCCCGATCCATGATGACCCGATCCATGGTGTCCCGATCCATGATCAGGTTTATGAGGAGGCCAGTGGTGTCCTGGTTTGTGGGTCGGCCACCAGTGTGGAGGCCAGTGATGTCCGGGCTTAGTTGGTTTGCTGGGCCGAGTTGGATGTGTTGGCTTCGATGGCTTATGAGTAGGTCTGTGAGTGGGCCTACCAGGCTTGTGTGTGGGCCACCAGTGTGGAGGCCAATGGTGTCCTGGTTTGTGTGTAGGCCACCAGTGTGGAGGCCAATGGTGTCCTGGCTTAGTTGGCCTTGATGGCCAATGAGTTGGCCTGGTGGGTCTGTGAGTAGGGCGTGTTGGTCTATGGGTTGGGCGAGTCGGTCTTGTAGGTCTGTGAGTTGGGTGGGTAGGCTTAGTGGGTTTGTGAGTGGGGCGAGTTGGCCTGGTAGGTTTATGTGTTGGTCTAGTAGGTCTGTGAGTTGGTCTATGTGTTGGTCTGTGAGTTGGTCTGTGAGTTGGCCTGTGAGTTGGTCTGTGAGTTGGTCTGTGAGTTGGTTTATGAGTTGGTTTGTGTGTTGGCTCTTCAGTAGGTTTATCAGTCGGCTTATCAGTGGGTTTTGGTGGTGGCTCAGTCTCAGGGCTTTCAGTTGGTTTATGGGTAGGTTTTTCAGTAGGGGCTGCGGTTGGCTTTGCTGTTGGTTTATGAGTTGGTTCTTCAGTAGGCGCTGCCGTAGGTTTATGTGTTGGTTCATGGGTTGGAGTTTCAGTAGGAACCTCAGTAGGTTTTGCTGTTGGTTTATGAGTTGGTTCTTCAGTAGGTGCCGCCGTAGGTTTATGTGTTGGCCTGTGTGTTGGTTCATGGGTTGGAGTTTCAGTAGGAACCTCAGTAGGTTTTGCTGTTGGTTTATGAGTTGGTTCTTCAGTAGGTGCCGCCGTAGGTTTATGTGTTGGCCTGTGTGTTGGTTCATGGGTTGGCGTTTCAGTAGGAACCTCAGTAGGCTCTGCTGTAGGTTTATGAGTTGGTTTTTCAGTGGGTGCCTCTGTAGGTTTATGTGTCGGCTTGTGTGTTGGCCTATGGGTTGGTGCATGAGTTGGAGTTTCAGTAGGAGCATCGGTGGGTTGTGCTGTGGGTTTATGAGTTGGCTTTTCGGTAGGTGCCTCTGTAGGCTTTTGAGTTGGTTTATGCGTTGGCCTGTGGGTTGGTTCATGAGTTGGAGTTTCAGTAGGAGCATCAGTAGGTCTTGCTGTGGGTTTATCAGTTGGTTTTTCGGTCGGTGCCTCAGTGGGCTTATGTGTCGGTGGGTGAGTTGGTTTATGAGTAGGATTTTCAGTAGGCAACTCAGTAGGCTTATGTGTTGGTAGGTGAGTTGGTTTATGGGTTGGAAGTTCAGTAGGCTCTTCAGTTGGTGCTATAGTAGGCTCTGCAGTGGGTTTTTCAGTTGGCGCCTCTGTGGGTTTCTCAGTGGGTTTTTGGGTGGGTTTTGAAGTAGGCGCTGGAGTGGGATCAGGAAATCCGGGTCCTACTGGTGGGTACGGATGAGGTCCCCACTGATCTTCGGTTACGCATACCTAAAAAAAATTACAGTTAATTAATTCTAAAATATGATATTGTGATAAACATCAACAAATTGTAAGGTAAAGTAATTTAATGTAAAATCTATTTTCTTAATGTTGCAATGATTTCTCTTGAAGTTTCCTAAAAGCAGTTTCATTTCTCGAAATAATACCTGGTAGTCGAATTTGAAGAATGTTCCAGGAGCACATGGCATCCTGGTAGCACGTTCGTTTAGTTGGGTGCATTGGAAGAACCAGCGATTGTCAGAATAATCAGGCCAGAGTTTCACCAGATGGCTCACCTTTGAGCAAACTGGTGCAACTACATAAGAAGATGCTGTTGCGACGCCACAAAACAGTGACGCCACAAGCACCACGGTGCCAATGGCAGCTGTAGGTAATAAAAATAAAGTTAATAAATCAAAAAAAGATATAGATACTTTATGTTTAGAATAATATTTTTTTTCTTATGCAATTGATAAATTTTTCATGCAAGTAGTAAAAGCGCATTATATATGACTGTTCGAAAAAATCAGAACGAGAATGCGCTTTGGTTGTTGGTAAAGTATGATTTTTCTGCAAATCGACTATTTTTGTGATTTTTTTTTCAAAAATAGAAACAAAAAAACTAGTTATTTTTAGAGGATTATTTTAGCAATATAAAGTATAATCAAATAAAAATTATTTGATATTGAAATTTATTGTTATTTATTTATTATTGGCAATTTTGTCCTCGAAATCATTACTAATTATCAATATTGTTTGCTGCAGAACTATTTGCATCAAATTTAATTACCCCGCCGCATGACAAAAACACTTTTGCCTGATGGTAATAAATTTCACAACAGAAGTCGCCACTTTCAAATTTACACGAAGAAAGAATCCGCACATGTAAAATACTTCTGTTAAGATGTAAAAGTGACGAACATTGTGCTAGAAGGTCAGTTCTTTGAAAGACCTGAAGATCTCACCTTCTGACTCTCCGGAAGAGTTAGGACCAAGGAGTGACAAACATTCATATTTTGGAAGATGACAAAGTGTTTAGTGTTTATTGAGTAAAATTTGAGAAACTTGAATCAAGACAAAAGTGTTGTGGAATTAGTGCCAACGACACTGGATCCAGCAGGAGGAGGATAAAAGGTAACAGAGATTTACCCAAAAACATTTCAGATTTGGGATGTTTTTATCATAGTAAACAACAGTATTGCGGTTTACATTATTTTTGTATTCGAAATTTTTATACTTGGGTATTAAGCCCTTTATGATTAACATAAAGTAATATAAATAATATATGTATGTAATAAAATAATAAAATGTTGAACAATTTTTCATCAAAACATTTATTTACATGTAAAGCGAATGAGGTTTGCCATACTAAACAATTTCCGGTAAAAAATTGACGAAAGTCCTTATTTGGTGTATTTCTTTGTTAAAAACAATTACATTGTATTGGGTATATGTTTTCCAATGTATTAATAGGGGGTCAAATGGCAAAAAATTTAAAAAAGCAAGACAAAATTCGTGGATAGATATATTTGATATCTTTGAATATTTAAATATATAATACGGCCAACACTTTTTAAAAAAATCCGTGGATAGATATATTTGAATATTTGAATAAATAAACATACTAAACAATTTCCGGTAAAAAATTGACGAAAGTCCTTATTTGGTGTATTTCTTTGTTAAAAACAATTACATTGTATTGGGTATATGTTTTCCAATGTATTAATAGGGGTCAAATGGCAAAAAATTTAAAAAGCGAGACAAAATTCGTGGATAGATATATTTGATATCATTGAATATTTAAATATATAATACGGCCAACACTTTTTAAAAAAATCCGTGGATAGATATATTTGAATATCTGAATAAATAAGGCACAACACTTTGCTAAAAAAATCCGTGGATTCTAGATATCTTCGAATATTCGAAAAAATCTTAATCAAAATAAAAAGTAAATTTATTAAACAAATTAATTAATTCCACTCACCTTTCATGTCTCCAAATTGGTTCTATCGATTATGTTAAACTAGTTTCAACTGCGTCGGTAATAAAATTAAAGATGATAATAAATCATTCAGTTTTATATACCTAATATTATCACTATCTTATGCGAAATGTGACACATACGATTTATATCCATATAGATTAATTAAATACAATGGTTTTATATGTACGTAAGATGGCAATCTTCACATTCGCAGATAAAGATAACTGAACAGGCTCGAGCCGCCGACAAATTGATAGGAATCAGAAGATTCTTTGTCATATTTTATTGTATAAATTATTTTGAATAATTGAATTATAAAGAATTGCTCATTTTGTATTTAATAGAAATGAATTTTTCAAACTATTTAGGTTGGCAAATGAGTAAGTACGATTTTCTGATGGTTTCAATTAAGTTTTTAGGTTTGCTGATGTAGTCCAATTGTCCAATACCTTTTGTTATTGGGTAGTAGACAATTTAGATTTCCAAGAGTTTTCGGCTCAATTGCGCAGAATTGTTGGGTTAGTTTATTTTTTAATATTTTCTTGTCATATTTTGCTTTTTTATTTCTGCAAAAGTAAAATGGCGTCTCAAGCCACAAAGAGTTATGAGCTCTTCATGATTACAAAGTCCTAAAAAAATGGCAACATCAAAGTTTGTTTACCAAGTTTCGTTCTGGTAATTCATCACTCAAAGATGAAAATTCTCTGATTGTCCAGTTGAACTAGATTATAAAGGAATTGTCTACCTTCACTCTTACCACCAAACCGGACCATCAATTCTGATGTCTATATTGAACAACCTGAATTAAAATCCGAATACTGATATATAAACATATGATGCTACTTAAAAGATGACAAAAAGTCATTGACCAAAATGAACAATATATCACAGAATAAAGTTCCAAAAAATAACTTTGATCTTTTAACAAAAATTCGTACATACTTAGTTGGCCACCTAAAATATACTGCCATTGTTTCCAATATTGAAGAATAACAAAATACCAGATAAAAATGACAAATATTGATATTAAATAGAAAAAGTATCCAACAACTGTCCCGTCTGTTTTTTTAATGCAATCAGATTTTAATACTTTATAGTTCTAAGAGCTATTGTGATGAAACTTCTTACCAAGTGTAATTGTTGAAGAAGGCAACCCAACAGCAACAATTGACCTAACTTTATTTGATATATTTATCATTCTTAGAACTTCTCTAATGCCGTAGAAAACATTTCTCATTTTGTTTTTTTTTTAATATCTTAACAACAATCAGGACCTTACGTCCTATGAACTGTTAGGCTGAAACTTCTCCTTACTTCGTATTTTTAGATGGTAACCCAAAGGTTAATCCATCCATATTTGATGATTTTTGTTATTAGAATTAATCTAATAGGGCTGACTTTTTTTCGTGCAACAATGCAGGATTAAAGGCTATTTTCACTTGGAAACATATTGCTATCTATATTTCCAAGTGAAAACCTTCGACACTACTACTTGGCAACAGGCTGCTCGAAGTGGGTCTTGAACCCAGGACCTCTGAATCAAGTCTCGTTGCTCTAAACCACTTACCTAAGGGCAAATCCTTAGAGTGAGAAATCTATTCACTTAGATCTATATTTTCAAGTGTAAACCTTTGTCACTACTGCTTGGTATAAGGTTCTAGACCTTCATAGAACCAGGAGCTTCGTGGTTGCAAGGCCAAAGCTTGTACCATTGATCCAAAGAAATTTTCTATTCGAATTTTTAAAATTACAATACATTACTCATTATGTAGTCAAGAGGATTTTTTAAACTATATATATTAAGTACATATGTTGACATAGTTTCTCAACTATTACAACTATTGGTTCTCAGGATGGATTTTTTATATATAAAATGAATAATTCAAAAATCCATCATCTTCTGGTTTTCTTAACCATATTGTTTCCTTAAATCTTATCAAGATCATGTTTCTTGACAGATGTCCTGAAGATGGAACGTACCTAGTTCCGAAACGTCGACAGCAAATAAATAAATGTTTTTTTAAAAAAACTTTTTTTATTTTTTATTACTCTTTGGAATTTTTGTTCGAATCTAGGTCTTTCTTTGAAATTAATTTGAATTTGCTTTAAATAATTCACAACGGCTGGGCTATTTTTACTTTGAGAATAATATTTACAATAATGATTTATGTTTCTTTTTTTGCAATATCAATTTCTTACATTTTGTCTCAAAATTTCTTTGCGCACCTTTAGATACATTATCTCTTTTATCTATGACATTATCTATGCGTTGCTGGTTGATAAAAGGGATTACTTATTTGAATTAAATTCAAATCTGCTTTATCCATCTCTGATGAATAGCAGAATTTTTATCTTATCGAATCGATGGTATTAACTTAGGCGGATATATTAATTATACAACTTAATTAATATATTAAAAGACACATACTGGTATTTATTCGGCGTGTGATGTATACTTATATTGAATAACATGTAGGAAATGTATTTTTTGAATAACATAATAACTAATCCTTTGATAAAAAAATGTAAAAATTAGTACTAATTAACCCATTGAAATTAAAACTGTATCAATATTTAGCGAAATTTACAAATAAGCCAAATTGAGTAAAATGCATTAAAAAAATGTGAATACTTTGTCCTTTGAGCTTTTTAATAGTTAACTCTTTCACATTTGATATATTTTTATTATTACAATTTACCTAATACTGATTACTACTGCTTGATACCAAGCTGTCTGAGTCGGGATCCTGGTACCATCTCTTTGAAAGACCCAAGCTCTTACCACTAAGCCACGGGAAGCACAGAAAATTATTTAAATTAACAATAAGAATCAAGGAACCATTTTTAAAATAATAGAGTTTTATGAGAATCTAACAATGACCCTAGTTTTTGGATAAATATCTGTATTATAGATTTTGGAACAAAGTAAAATTTAAGTAAATTATTGTTAAATAATATTTACAAATTATTTAATATCAATTTTAAGGAATTTTTGTCTATAAATTTTATAAATATAGGAGTGTATTTACATTAAATACAAAATTGTGAGTGGCCTTGTAATAAGAGCTTTGGTCTTGCAAAGAGAAGGTAACAAGATTTTATATCTTAGATTTAATAGGTTTTACACCTATTTTTATACAAGTTATGATGTTAATACAACAGATATAAATTCTGTTTTGTCCTCATGTTTCTTTTTATTCAATATATTAAATATTTTTTACAATCTATATATAATTATTCTGTACAAATATATTTTTACACAAAACATTGGATACTTAACATACTATTATTATTTAGCTTAGATCACATTTCTTTACAGCTAAATCTTTTCATTGCAACTATGCATTTAAAAATTAAATACCAATGTTTTGCCTTAATCTATTCAGTCCAAAAATTAATCGGTGTTCAATGATTAACTTGGTTTATATAAAATTTTTACATCCATACATAATTTATACTTACTTATTAAATAGAATATCTCACATAAAATTTAAATTATCTGTTCGAGTGTTCTTACTACGACATAAAGCATAACATATGCATTAATAATAGAGATTGGTCTGGAATCAATAGACGCAATAAATATAATTACAAAGTATTTTCAAAAATACAAATTTCTTGATTACACAAACAAACTCTTGCAACTATACACAAACATATCAACTTCTACTTTTACAAGTAAAAGACAAAATCATACCAAGAAATAATATTTTAAAATTTTAAATGATATATTATATTTCTCACATATTTTTAAAAACCATCCATCAGAACCAAACATAGGTATTGTAGGCTTTCTATATACATATTAATATTGTATCGCGAATAAATTATGATTATTTAAAACCTATCATTTGAAATAATTGTTTATTTTTCTTATGCTCAAATTTATAAGCAAACATATTAAAAATAGATACGTTATTCGGGCTTTGTATAAAGTAAGCAATTAAATAAACTATGATAAAAGTCGAACTAAAACAATTGCAAGCATACATAAGTAGTCGATTAAATATATACAAATCAATTTTTCACCAATTTATATATGCATATATATATATATATATATATATATATATATATAAATATTAAATATTTATATATTTATATATATATATATATAATTGAACAGTTATTAATACAGATTTTTATCTGTATTCAATTCATCAAAAGCAGTTCTCTTTTAATATTTTTTAGTAAATAAATATTTCAATCAAAAAGTCAGTATTTATGGAACATATTCAATAAGTCTAAGTAAATGATTACAAAACAATGTAATTAAAGTATATAAAGTGGGTGCTAATGTGTATTATTAAAATACTATCTTCTTATATATAAACATCATTATATACATTCATCCTCGAAAGGGTATGTAATTGGGGCAAATAATATATTAGCCATTTTAAAACTAATTAACAAATTATACTTAATACTAAATTATTTTCACTCTGTTTGTGGTTTCATTTTACAATACTTTCTTTTATGTTTCATCATTCCTTTAGACTGCGCAAAGTCCCTTTGACAAAATTCACATTTAAACAGTTTCATACCCGTGTGCAACATTTTATGGTCAGAAAGAGTTCCAATCCTTGCAAAGGCTTTACTGCAAACATCACAAACATAAGGACGTTCCCCCGTATGAGTTCTGTTATGGTGATTCAGATAACTCTTAGATGCAAAAGTTTTTGCACAAATATTGCATTCATAGGGCTTCTCGCCCGAATGAGTCCTCATATGCGCAGACAGATTCTGGGGCTGTGCAAAAGTCTTATGGCATTCTTCGCATTCATAAGGACGTTCACCAGTATGAATGCGAGTATGCAGAACCATTGAGCTTTTTGTTGCAAAAGTTTTCTCACAGTGATCGCAAGAGTATCTTTGGCATTGTCATGGGTTTCTATGTGTTTTTGTAAATCAGAAAGTTCATCAAAACTCTTTTCACAAACTGCACACCAAAACAGTTTTTGTCTAGCACCTGTTCTAGCAATGGGACCACATTCTTTAACATGGGCTTGAAAATAAAGAAGTGATGAACAAGTAAAAGGGCATTTTCTGCATTTGTATTCATCGTCATCTGATCCAGAACCAATTTTACTCACAATCATTTCACAATCGATTGCAGGGGTGGCTGCATCATTGTCAATATCATTCTTCTCATTTACCGATTCAGAATTATTTATATTATCATTATTATCATTATCAGATCCAATACAGTCATTTTTGTCATTTATTGATGTGTGTTCATTTCCAATGTTTTGGTTTTTCATATCATCGTTTTCTTCGGCACTGTTATTTTCTAGGCCATTTTCCGACATTGCTATTAAATTACTTTACAAATTTCCACATCATATTAACTAATAAATAATTTCACAGTAATGTTTTGGCCAAACAATATTAAAATTAAACAAAAGTGACACAAAGACCGCCATGCTTGAATTCAACAGCGATGCTAAAACATTTTAAATATCTGTAACTTGAGGAAAAACGCAGTTTTCCAAATTTAATATTTAATATAAAATTGATATTTTAGAATTTATTAATTATTTTGAGTATTATTTCATGCTGTCCAAATATTTATAATATTTGTACAAAATATATAGTGTCTGTAAACCTGGTGTAAACCAGTGTAAACATTTAGAAACACTGTCATTGTCAATATATACAATGAAGTTAGCAACGTCCATCATAAATATTAAAGGCGCTAAATTTGAATTCAAATTCTCATATGTTGTTTTATATTTATTAACAAATATCTTTTTCAAATGTCTGTTGGTCAATGTAGTGTTTAATTGAAATAAATTTAGCTCAGAATCCAATTAGACTGAAGCTTACTAAGGTTACATACAAATAGTAAATCAGGTGTGAGTGGCATTTTGCCATAAGTTGCATAAACTTCCCAATATGTATAAATAATCTAATTAATAAGAGCTCAGTTTAGTTATTTGGATAAAAAAATTAACCACTTATCGTAGGCCTATAATAATTCAGTATGTTAACTCAGTGATACATTTGTTTCACTAGTATATTGAAATATTATAGGCCTATGGTAAGTGGTTGAACTATGAGGAGTTGGAGAACATAAACCCCAACCTATAATTTTTAAGGACCTATTCTAGAATTATATAATAAAATTGCAACAAAATAATACATCAACCATTTTTAAACTGTATATGCATTCAGAAAAAACTTTACAATTTTCAATTTTCTTTTATCCACACATTTGATAATTTGGAGGCCGATTACAATCACACGGTTTTAATTAATTTTTTTATGAGTGCATATTTTTGATAGAATTCTCTTCACTTTTGTGTAAGATAAGGTCTTGAACCGTGCATCTCATGGGCCGGAGTGCAGTGGGCCAAACTCAAAATATCGTAAAAATTGATCAGAAGAATGCAGACCCATTGTAGAACGCTTCGACGCCGAGGAATCCTTGAAGAAGGAATATCCTGGAAATATAAATTGATAAAAAAATTAGTTTTGGAAGGAATTCCAACGTTGACCAAATTTCAAAATTTTTAATTTATAGTTCAACAAAAAGCCTTAATTCCTGAAAATATGGGGCAATTGTGTCGTTATTTTTGACTGTGATCCTAGAGAAATGTTATTAACGTTTACGGTTGTATAGCTTAATTGAACAAAAGTAATAAAAATTAACCATAATAACTAAAATATGGCCACAATTTCACTAAAGAACTAGATTGCACCTAAAAGTTCATAATTCCCAAACAATGTGAGTTTCTTCTCCAATTTTTATTAGGTGAGTTACAGTCAATAAGTATTATCAGCCCGCTGCGGCTTGACGTTGAGTTCTGGAACACCCTGTATACTTTGTGTTGAAATTCTAATTGAAAGTGCTGAGTACTTCTTGCAGCATTTGCTTGCATCTTTTTTGTTTTCTTGACTACATCCTGAAGTTGAGTTCTGGGTCACTCTGCATACCATTTTATCTTCTCCAGCACCACATCCTGACGTTGAGTTCTGGGTTACCCTGTATACTATCTGTTAAAAATCTAATTGAAACTTTTTAGTCTTATTATTATCCTTATTGGTGCTGGATATTTCTTAGAGCATTTGCTTGCAGTGCTTTTTTGCTTCCTTGTCGATCCATTTTATCTTCTTCAGCATCATATTTTGACGTTGATTTCTGGGACACCCTATATACTAGTATATACAATACACATAGCTATGTGTTGAGAATCTAATTGAAGCATTTATTAAGGCCTATTATTATTATTATCGGCACTGATTACTTCTTGCAGCATTTCCTTGCAGTATTCTTTTTTTGTTTCAATGTTGATCCATTTAATTTCTCCAGCACAAAACTCTGACGTTGATTTCTGGGACACTCTGTATACTATGTGTTGAGAATCTAATTGAAACTTTTATTAGGGCTTGTTAGTATTATTATCGGTGCTGATGACTTCTTGCAGCATTTACTTGCAGTATTTTTTCTTTGTATCCTTGTCGATCCATTTTGTCTTCTTCAGCACCACATCCTGGCGTTGAGTTCTGGGATGCCCGGTATACTATGTGTTAAAACTCTAATTGAAACTTTTCTTTATCGGTGCTAGGTATATTTGCTTGCAATACTTCTTTTTTATTTCATTGCTGGTCCATTTAATCTTCTCCTGGACCGCATATTGAAAATCTAGATGAATTGTTACCGGTCTTATTCTTGGTAAAGCGTACTCTAAATTTATTTTTGGACACTATAATTCGACTTTTTTTATTTTTGTATTCAAGAATGCAACAGCCTCGCCCCGCAGGTTGGAAATCACTGACATAATCGCTTCCAAGCAGATTCCGCGTACTCAGATAATGTTTCTCAAATATTCCTTATGATCCTTAGGAGTTATATTCAATGCAAATTCAATAATTATATATGGTAAATATAAATTACAGTTTCAAGACTTTTCTTCAAGATCAAGTTAGACTAGTCGTAAAACACATCCACAATAAATAAGTTTTATACTTTAATTATACATAATATTTTTGAAGGTATTATTTTTTAATTCTTTCAGTACATATGCCTAGTTGTCTACTAGTACACATGGCTAGCTTTTTGGTATATAAATATTTCCTTCAATTGATATACTTCACCCTTAGAGATATTTATTTTTTATTACTGGCGGCATGTTTCACAGTCAAATTAAAAGCATATCAGAAATCTTTATTAATAATTTGTAATATCAATTTTTCATTCTAATATTATTAACAGCAATCAAAACTTATTAGTCCTATAAGCTTGATATGATGACTTCTCAATGACTTGGCTTTATTGATATACTCGTATAGATGGTAAACTATAACGGTTGTCCTGTCTTTATTTCTTAAATTTATTATTGGGAATTTTAAAACTAATGATTTTTTGGATGCAGCAATCATGAATGAGACTTATTTGGACTTGGAAACATTGCCATAATATATTTTCAAGTAAAACCTGATGTCACTACTTCTTGACTACTTAATCCAACCCATCAACACAAGCAAGAAACACTGGGACTAATGTTTAATTATATATATATATATATATATATATATATACATGTGTATATATACGAGTATATATATATATATATATATATATATATATATATAAACTTTCTATAGAATCTTACCATTATAATGTCGCCTTCACCCAGCTGAAATTTGTCCAACTCGTTTAGCAACTCCAATGCTTGATCTCCTTCATCCATTTTTTTCCCAACTTTGAAGCATAAGTCTTCCTTCTTCATTTTTCTCCTACATAACAGAAATTAAAAAATATTTAATTTTGAATTTTAGAACTACAAATTTAAATTACACACTTCTAATTGTCATTGTCAACGTGTGTGTGTGTCTTTTTTTTAATTATACAATACGATAATTATTTTATTTACACAGTAATTTATTAAATTAAGTATTATTTAATATTGTAATATATTTTTTTACCTTTTTGGTGTGTGCGGCTTAAAATATGCGCTCATCGGGTTCATTCTGTGGAACTCCAATAGGTGGTGACAAAAATTTTTTGAACCCAGACAAATTTCTAAACAAAAGCTCCACTACTCGTCAAATAAACTTTTGTTTATAAATAGCAAATATTTGAAATGTTTGAATTCAAAGCCAGTCAGTTATGTTGATAAATTGATGGCGATAGACATAAATTTTGAACAGATATGAGAAGACAACAAGATGTTTGTAAAATCTTGGAATTTCCGTTTGGGAAGGATGTTTTTCCATTGGTTTATTGAAATGAGAACGTTATGGAGCACTTTATATATTAATTGAAAATTTTCTAAAAGTATTTCTACATATCAGAAGAGATTTCCGACATTTTCACATATTTTAAAATTTATCCATAGAAATACTGAATTTCTCATATCTTGATATTTATTTTGTATAAATATGACCCTTAAAATTTACTTTTATATATAGTGATTTCCAACCCTATTGTATCAATTAGTACACCCCCATTTCTAATAAGAAAAATCTTGCGCCCCCTTAATTTTTTGGACAATTTAATTTTATAAATATTCAACAATTTCCCATAGAAGAAATTTGTTTTCGAGTTTCTTCAGTGAAAAAATATGTGTGTATGTGAAAACAAAATTTAACAATTTTCCACGTTTTTCCGCAATGATCAGTTTTGTATGACAATCGGGTCAGCCGTTTCTTTATAAAATGCAAAAAAATCATCAGCATTTTAACGAACGTCCTAAAATATTATAGGCCTACGAAAAGTTTTTCAATTATAAAATTTTGTTGAAACTAGACTGAAAAGTGTTAAATATATTTATATTTATATATTAAGATTTCTAAAAAGCAAAAACTTCAATATAAACAGTTAAATAAATATTTCATCTAAACAATTTTATAAGTTTCTAAATTTCAAAACCTT